CTGAACCCAGGGGCACTTTACCCCTGAGCTGTATCCCAGCCATTTTTACTTTTTATTCTGGGACAGGGTCTTCCTAAATCACCCGGCTGACCTCACACTTCAGATCCTCCTGCCTTGGCCTCCCAATCACTGGCATTCCGGGTGTGCACGGCTGAGGCGGGCCACGCTGACCTCTGGAGTCCTCTCAGAGGCCGGTTTTAATGGACAGGGCAGGGCTGGGCACTGGGGCGCACGCCTGTCATCCCAGCAGCACAGGAGGCCGAGGCAGGAGGATCACAAAGCCAGCCTCAGCAACTCGGAGAGACCCTGTCTCAAAGTAGCAAGAGCCGGCCCAGTGCTTAGCGTCCCTGGGGTCAACCCCCGGTTCCAAAAAAAGAAAGAAACTGCAAACATTTCCACGAACCCTCGGGTCACGTCCAACACGCCTGGCCCCGGTCAAAAGCGGGCAGTGGGCTCTGGGTGTCTGGGAAGTGACCCTGAGGATCGTCCCCAGTTCAGCCCCCACAGCTGGAGGGATTCCCAGAGGCGGACCTTGGCCTTAAGAAAGCACAAGCCCAGATCCAGCACAGGCCGGAGCCTCGGCCGGACCGTGAAGGGAGCAGCCTCCAGGGAGGCCAAGCGCCAGCCTGGGCCGGGCGGGGGGCATCGGAAGCTGGAAGGGGTGGAGGGGTGGGTCCTCCTCCCGCAGGACCCAGAGGGTGGCCCTCACCGAGGGAGTGCTGCATGGGGTTCCGCGAGAAGCGTCTGTGGCTGACACCAAGACTGGCGATGAGGCGGGCCCCACCTGCCATCCCAGGGAGGCAGGAGGACCCCAAGTTCAAGGCCAGCCGCAGCCACTTGGCCAGAACCTGTGTCAAAATGATCAAAGGCCTGGGTCCTAGCTGGGCGTCCCTGGGTGTGGTCCCCACGGTCCCCCCTTCCCCACAGAAAGAATGACCGTCTGCTGATGACTCCCGATGCCCAGCACCCAGAAACGAGGAGGAAGAGGGGTGCGTGCGGGGAGAAGGGGACAGGCCCAGCCCTCTCCTCCCTCCATCCCTGCGGTACCTGGCCCTCGCAGGCCCAGGCGGCTGTGGGGACCCGCTGGAGACTCTGAGGGCAGGAATGAGGTGGCCGGGCTCGCGCTCTAGGAGGACACTCCAGGTGCCCGGTGAAATCTGGACTTCAAGTTTTAAAGACTCTGCTTTTTCCCCTTTTCTTTTCACTGCTGGGGAAGAAGGCGGAGCCCGCGCTCCCTGGGCTGGGGCCTGAGGATCTTCCTGTTTTCTTTGCGGTGCTGGGGTTGGACCCAGGGTGCCCGTGTGGCCTGCGAGAGCACGTCACCACCGTCACCACCGAGCACGCCAGCCCTGAGCCAGCCCTGAGCGGCTTCCTTCACTCGTTCTGTTTAGTTATAGGGGACAGCGGGGTGCATGTGGACAGGTCCCGACAGCGGGGTGCGTCTGGACAGATCCCGACAGCAGGGTGCGTCTGGTCCCAGGGGCGGGTGCCTCTGGACCACCCTACAGACAGGAGCTTGCGGTTGTACATGGTGTGGAATCTCACTGGTCCTGTGTTCATATAAGAACCCTGGAAAGTGACCTCGTCCCCTGCACGTCTCTGTCAGTGTTATTCCCACCCCAGAACTTCCCCCTCCCCTCCCAGGCTTGCTTCAGCATCTGCATATCAGGGACTACATCCGGCCTTCCCTTCCCGGCCTCCCTTCCCGGCCTCCATAGCCTCAGGCCACTCCTTTACCTGGGAAGTCCTAAACTCATTCTGTTTTTTATGTTTATTTACTTGCTTTTCTAGGTGGTGCTGAGAATCAAACCCACTGCCTCCCGCAGTGCTCCCTATTCCTCCACCCGTTGAAGGTCACCTGGTTCCCTAGGCTCAGCTGCTGTGAGTTGAGCGGCTGTAGAGGCTGACGTGGCCTCACTGTAGAGGCTGAGTTGAAGACCTCGGGGTAGAAGCCCAGCAGTGGGAGAGCTGGTCCGGTGGAGGCTCCGCCCCTGGTTCTGAGGAATCCCCGCCCTGCTTTCCACAGCGGTGGCACCTTGGCAGTCCCACCAGCGGTGTATGAATGTGACCTTGGGGCTGGGGCGGTGGCCCAGGGGTAGAGCCCTTGCCTAGCATGCGCGGGGCCCTGCGTTGGAATCTCAGCACCACGTGAAGATTGTGTCCCTTTACAACTAAAAAATTGTTTTTAAAAAGTGGACCTTTCCCGCACGTCTCGCCACCATTCAATTCACCGTTCCTTGTGTTCTCGATAACTGCCATTCTCACTGGGCCCAGGTGGAATCTGGAGGTGGTTTTAATTTGCATTTTTAATTGCTACAGACGTTCCCAGGATCTTTCTTGAGAGGTGCACGTTCAAACTGCAGGAAGGCAGGCCAAAGGTCGCGTCCCGCCAGGACCCATCAAGGAGTCACCCTGCAGGACAAAGGGCTACTGGTGGCGGCTGGGTGGCCACACCTGTCCTCCCAGGGGCCCGGAGGCTGAGGCTGGAGGATCACGAGTTCAAAGCCAGCCTCAGCAATTCAGTGAGACCTGTTTCTAAATAAAATATGTAAGAAAGGAGGGACTATGGCGCAGAGGTGAGGTGACCCTGGGCTCCGTCCCCAGTACGAAGACAAGGCCAAGGCCTGGTCGAGTCAGAGAAGCTTTAATATCTAGAAGTCTGGGCACCTAATCCGGCGGATCCCGGCTCTCCGCCGAGCGAGAGCTGGCAGCTGGAGGACTTGGCGGGCATGCTGGTGATGACGATGGGCACCTTGGCCTTGACGCTGGCCAGAGACCAGGGCAGGTGCACGGTGACCACCAGCTCGTAGCTGGTCCGCATGATCTGGTCGTCTAGCAGGGCGCTGCTCACGGACAGCACGAGGGGCAGGCTGAAGGTGCTGACCACCGTGGTGCTGCTGAAGGCGGCGATCTGGGTGTTGGCCTCCTGCCGCAGCAGCTCGTGGCTGTCCCCGCGCCACCGCCGCTCGGCCATGGGCGTGAAGCCCTCATACTGCATGTGGGCGTAGAGGGCCAAGACCACCGTCCGGAGGCACTTGCTGGTCTGGTTGTGGATCTCCGAGGTGAACACCACCTTCTCCCCCGGCATGAAGGTGTTCCTGTCCATGCGAACCTGCAGGCACACCCTGCCCCGCCGGCAGCAGTGGTAGGACACCTTCTTCTCGGCCTGCACAAACAGGGGGTCCTGCAGGGGGAGGGGAACGAGAGTGAGGGGCTGTGGCTGGGAGACCCACCACCTGACCCACATCCGTCCCAAGAGCTCCTTGGTACTTCGGGGCTTTTGCACCCCCAACCCTGCAGTTGTCTCCCAGCTTCCTGACTGATCTGAATATCAATGGCCTTATCTGCAAAACAGTCTTAGGAAATCCACAGAATCCCCCTCCCATGATTCTCTGGCTGTGTGACCTTGGATAAGTGGCTTGACTTCTCTGAGCATTGTTTTTTTTTTTGGAAGACCGTGTAATAGCTTACAGTCTAAGAGCAAGACCCTGGGTTTAGGCAAATATTTCAATGATATGCATTCACTAGGAACTCCATTTTGAATTTTAAATACGGATCCCGCCTGCCCCCCACCCAAGCAAACATATTTTCTTGTGAGTGAGCTGCAGCTCCCAGGTGAACCCCACAGTTGTGAAGGGGAGCAGCCAACGTTGTGCAGCGTGCCGTGTTGCTAACACGAGGTGCCTGGGTCAGCTACATCATATGCATTTTACAGTTAAGGATATTTTCACCTGATGACCGGTTTATGGGGACAGGACCCTATCGCAAATGGAAGAACCAAGAACCGTCCATCTTGTCCATTTCCACGACAGCAACTGAGAACCCTGCAAAATGACCTGTCCCTCCATCCCCGACCCCCCTGCATCCCACAGGAGGGCTGTGTGGGCCCCTGCGGGCGCTCGCTGGCTCTGTGGCAGGGGCTGCTGGGAACCTCGCGGGCGCCGCACAGCGCACACACACGCATGCAGGGTTCACTGTTCATCTTTTCCTTTTCTTTGCTGGGATGGACCTGGTCCTCACTGTCCTGGGCCAGCACTCCGCCGCGGCGCGCACCTGCTGTCTGTGACAGGTCCAAGGGCCTCCCGGGAAAAGCCTGGGACCAGACCTGGCTCCCGTCTGGGAGTGGGGGGATATTTGTATTGAATTTACTTATTGAGTGTCTCTGATCTGAAATGCTCCAAACATCCAAGAGCACATACACGGCCTTCTGTTCCGGGTGTTCCAATTCCATTCATCTGCAAAACGTTGGTGGCCATTCTCTGAACTCATTTTCCTGTTATTTTCTATTCTACTTATTCGATGCTATCATTCATTTTCTTTGATTTTTTGGTACCAGGGATTGAACTCAGGGGCGCTTGACCACTGAGCGTCACACCCCAGACCTTTTTATTTTTTTATTTTGAGACAGGGGTCTCCCTAAGTTGCGGAGGCTGGCTCTGAACTCACGACCCTCCTGTCTCAATCGAACCCAGTGCCTCATCCTGTAGGCCAGGGCTCCACCACTGACCCACAGCCCAGCCCTGGATTTCTTAATCATGTTGGTCGCAACCCACCACATTTATATATTCTGACATTTTATTTTATTTTTTATTTTTCAGTTCTCGGCGGACACAACATCTTTGTTGGTATGTGGTGCTGAGGATCGAACCCGGGCCGCACGCATGCCAGGCGAGCGCGCTACCGCCTGAGCCACATCCCCAGCCCATATTCTGACATTTTCTATTATTTTCTTTCATTAGAAAACAGTTAGGGGCTGGGGCTGGGGCTCATGGCAGAGCACTTGTGAGGCCCTGGGTTTGAACCTCAGCACCACATAAAAATAAACAAATAAAAGAAAGGCATGTTGTCCATCCATCCATCCATCCAACAACCACCCACCCATGGGTGGCAGGACTCTGGGTGACTCCCTGGGAGAGCGCCTGCCCAGGCTGCCCAGGCCCCGGCTTCCTGGGGGCTGAGATTCTGGGGGAGATCCATTGCAACACACCAGACTGATTTTTTTTTTTTGTACTGGGGATTGACCTCGGGGCCCTGGGCCACTGAGCCTCACCCCAGCCCTAGTCTCAGTTTTTATTTAGGGACAGGTCTCACGGAGCGCCTCACCCTAGCTGAGGCTGGCTTGGAACTCGCCATCCTCCTGCCTCAGACTCCTGACCCTGGATGACAGGCGTGTGCTACGCGCCCGGGCCTGCCTCAGCCTCTCAAGGACCTGGGAGGACAGGCGTGTGCCACCACCACACTGTCGTGTTCTTTTATTTTATAAAACATGGAGTTGGGGACCCACCCAGTCTCTCTCTGATCTGTCCTGAGTCCAGGCCCAGGTGCCTGCGTGTCACTACAGTGAGACGGCAAAGCGCAACCTCCCGGGGTCCTTCCACGGTTTGAAAAGTGCCGCTCTGGGTCCACTGCTGACCCCTGACCCCTCTGACCTCCCTTCCACCCGGGCCTCAGACCCCTGCCCTGGCCTCCTAAACCCCAGTCTCAGGGAGAGTTTGCGCATGTGCATGCGCCAGGCCCCTGCAGAGCTTAGGAACCCAGGCCCCAGGGGGAGCCTGCAGTACTGACCAGGGCCTGCAGGGGCCTCCTTTCAGTGCCCAGCACCAGAAAAATACAAAATAAAAAACAAAAAAGAAGAAAAAGTAGGAAGGAAGGCCCCGAGGGGAGGAGGGGAGGAGCAGTGCTCAGAGGGGGGCAGCGCAGCGGCCTCCTGACCCCAGCCCTCCCTGGGTGATGACTTAGCTCTTGGTCTGCTGGCCTCCTCCTGGGCCTGACCCCAAGCCTGCTGCCAGGAGTCCCCGCGGTGGAGGGGGGTGTTTCCGTGGAACGGGGCACTTCCAGCTCCTGGGCGTGCTGTTGCCCTGGGCCTTGTGGCTAATGGAGGGTCCACTGGTCGTGAGGCCCAACTTGTGTCCTCTTGGTTCCCACGGGCACCCAGAGAGGGGGCAAGGCCTGCAGAAGGTCACCCAGGAGCAGGGGCCACACCTGAGCCCAGGCTGCTGGCCCCAGGGCCCTTCCACACCCCTAACACTGGCCCTCCTGGAGGCCCGCCTCCCTGTGGGCTGCTCAGAGGTCGCTTTGTCACTGAGATAATCACACCATCAGGAGGTCCAGTCATCGCCCTTGGATGACCTTGGAGGCAGCAGGGCCAGCCTGTTTTACCCGGAGTGCCCGCAGGGCCGGGCAGCAGGAGGGGCCTGCCACCCACCCCCTCAGAGAATCTCCAGGGCCCAATGCCCTTGATGCTCTGATGACAGGGAAGTCCCTGCGGAGGTACATGACCTTCACCAATGTCATTCCACTGCCCCAGCTTCCCCTCTGGACCAGGCCTCAAAATGGGATTTGGGACAGCCTGGCGCTCAGGTGACCACAGCTGCACTGTCCTTCCTTGTCCGGGGACTGAAGCGCCTGCATTTGCCTTTTAGGGACACCAGCTCTGTGTCTGAGGACTCAGATGACGGGGGCCACTGAGGGCCTCTCTCCCACCCAGAGGGGCTCTGGGGCTTCTGCTTGGTTGAGTCCCCGAGGGTCCCAGCCGCTGTGGCTCTCTCTGGGTGGTGTCCTGGGCACTGCAGGAGGCTGGGCAGCGCCCCTGGCCTCCCCGGGCTCCGTGCCGGGACTCCCCTCACGACACCCACCAGTGGCCCCCAAAGCCCACTGTCCCCTGGCCGGCCACACTGCCCTCTCTCCTCCTTTCCCTTTTTGTAGACGGACGCAACACCTTTATAGGTTTTTACGTGGTGCTGAGGGTCGAACCCAGGGCCTCGCACGTGCCAGGCCAGCACACCACCACTGAGCCACCACGCCCCCGTGAGCCACCACGCCACATGCCACCGC